GGGGGGATTTGGGGGTGTTTGGGGGGGATTTGGGGGTGTTTGGGGGGGATTTGGGGGTGTTTGGGGGGGATTTGGGGCTCCACGCGCTGCGTCAGCGGGGTCTGGTCAGCACCCAGGGGGGTTTGCGGGGGTGTTGGGGGACAGGTTTGGGGTGATTTTTGTGGGATTTTTAGTTTTTAATGCCAATTTTGGGCCGTTTTTTACGGAAATTTTGATTTTCACGGCGATTTCGGGGCCGTTCCGCTCCCGGATTTTTTTTTTTTGGGGGGGGTGGTGGGGTCTCTCCCCCTCCTCATCCGTGACCCCTCCCCCTCCCCAGGTGGGCCTTCACCCTCATCATCATCTCGTCGTACACGGCCAACCTGGCGGCGTTCCTGACCGTGCAGCGCATGGAGGTGCCGGTGGAATCGGCCGACGACCTCGCCGACCAAACCAACATCGAGTACGGCACCATCCACGCCGGCTCCACCATGACCTTCTTCCAGGTCAGGGCCGGCACCGCGTCCATCCATCGATCGATCTGATTGAGACAATCGATCGATCGATCGGATTGAGGCAATCAATCAATCGATCTGATTGAGACAACCGATCATTCAATCGGCATGATCAGTCCAATCAGTCATTCAACCCAATCAATTATTCAACTCAATCAGTCCAATCAACCCAATCAATCAACCCAACCAACCAATCAATCAATCAGTCAACCCAACTGGGCCAACCCAACCCACCTTGGGCCAACCCAATCAACCCAATCAGTCAACCCAACCAATCAATAAATCAATCAACCCAACTGGGCCAACCCAACCCAACCCAATCAATCAACCCAACCCAACCCAATCAATCAACTCAACCCAACCCAATCAATCAACCCAACCAATCAATAAATCAATCAACCCAACTGGGCCAACCCAACCCAACCCAATCAATCAACCCAACCCAACCCAATCAATCAACTCAACCCAACCCAATCAATCAACCCAACCAATCAATAAATCAATCAACCCAACTGGGCCAACCCAACCCAACCCAATCAATCAACCCAACCCAACGCAATCAATCAACTCAACCCAACCCAATCAATCAACCCAACCAATCAATAAATCAATCAACCCAA